GCACAGCTCACTTTTGTCATGAGCAGCCACTTTAATAACACCACCTCTCCTCTGATCCCCTTCCCAAGCACCTGTGAATGGACTTTTCCACATGCTCCTGGCCTGTCCTGTGCTGAATTTCCTTGCTGTCACCCCTCCAGCACCCGGACACGAAGACTTGGAGACCCCAAAGTGCAGATGACTTCACACCGTTTCAGAGGTGGCCACCTTTATCGTCAAGTAACCTATAGCACAGATTACTTTATATATACACATTATCACCGAGTACCTTATAACATGGCTTACACACATTATAATGCAGATTATACACGTTTCCCTCTGTTCTCCCAATCTACACCAAGCTTTTAAAGTACGGTGACAAGCCGTAGTAACATCGATGATAATACTTTGCCACTAAACTATGGCAATACCGTGAAACCCAAACACATTGGCCAAGTCTTTCACTTACAGAAATAACTAAAAAACTACACAAGGCTGCATTTAGATGCTATCCACCCCCCTCAACACTACCAGCATGTGTAGCAGCGCTGCAAGTAAAACCTCAACCCTCTCCCCACCATCCTTCCTGCGCTCCCAGCAGTTAACGTCTCCCTCTCATTTTCACATGTATTTTTTTTGCGCTGTGCCTTGGCACTCAGGTTAAGGTCTTCTGCCCAAGGTTGGAGACAGAAGGAGAGAAGCAAGAAGGCTGATAAAGAGATTTGCTCTCCTCCCTGCTTAGGCTTGGTAAGCTTAGCCTTGGTGCTTCTGCAAAATTCAGCTGCTGTAATGTCAGAAGATGCAGCTTTAGATGTAAGCTAAATCCTCTGAGCAGTCCGAGCAGAACAGCGAGCCTACAAGCAATTCTTTGGCAGCTTCTACTTTCAGACCTCACAGGGAATAAAAGAGCATCCAAATATTTTTTTTTAAGCTCTTTTTGACAGGAATTTATCTTCTCCAGACAACAACAGCAAAAAAACCAAAATAAACAAAAAACAGCACAAAAACCCCAAGATGCATTAATTTATTTTTTTAAAAGCATCATTATTTAAATGATTTCTCATTAAAAAAAAAAAAGAGAAGTGAACTGAAGAATGCAAAAGTCCATATACTGCTTTGAGAATTAAAGACTAATTTTCTCTCTGCATTCCCTCCTTCCTCTGTTTCAGTGTCTATAAAAAGGCCAGAAAAGCTGGGGTGGGGCAGGGGAATACCCTTTTTTCGGGTGATGCACTGTCCTGGAAAAGAACTGTATGAACACAGAGCTTAGGAACCGGCTTCTTCTGTTTGCTTAAGACTGGAAGAGCAGTTTACATTTCTTTAACCATAAATTAAGGAAGCTACGACTATGGTCATTCTCCACTTGGACATACATTCCTCTCAAAACATTGTATTTTGTTCTTTTTGGTCCATGTAGCAACACCATGGGACACACTACTTTTACCATCCCCATGGTCATTCTTGCCTCCAGCTATACATGGCAATTTTGGGTAAGCTAAAAGCTCTTAATGCATCTCCTTTTACTATTTAAAACTTTTCCTGCTTTTTGGCTCGGTGGCCACCACCAGCTAGAGGACATCCACACCTAACAAGTGCCCAAAGCAGTGGGGTGAAGACATGCGTCCTGGCTGGTACCTAAGATGTCACCCCGAGCACTGTGGAGCTAGCGATGGTCACTAGCCAAAACCAAAGGAACGAGGACACAAAAATAAGCTATCGTGCTGCCAAGCAGCCTGCGTTCTCCTTGGCACAGAGGGGCAGCATCGTTTTTAAAACACAAATAAGGAAATAAAAAATGTACCATTATATAAAGTCACTGGGACAGCCGATGAAGTAAATAGATAGGAAGTTAAAAATCCACTAACAACGAGATGCAGCTTGTCCCTGGAAAGCTCACCCAAAATAATCAGAGGTGAATGATTTATAAGTTACAGATATATAAGCTGTGTTAAAGTGAGACCTATGTGGGTCTTGCACAGCTTGCCAGAGCCCTTGGCTGCATGCCATTTTTAGGAGAAGAGGCAGCTTGAGCCATTAGCCTGACGCTGACCCAGACCCAGACTAATGCCCATTCCCTAGGAAAATAGGTATTTTAAATTAGGTTCTCCACATACCACCCTCATTCCTTCAACCGCTTTAATGAGTTTAATCAGCTCACACCGCCTCCAAATACAGAACCCCATGCAGTAAATTATTTGTGTTTGGCAGCCTTTGCAGAGGACACTCCCTGACCATTTTGCTGGCAGTACTTTGGACTTGCATTACCTTCAAACAGCATCTCTGGACGCTAATGGGCGACCTGCTGTCAACTTCTTTTCTTCTAGCAAAGCCCCATGCAAGCATGTCCAGTAATAGAAAACTTCAGGGAAACAAATATTTGTTCTGACATTGGAAAGTGCTGAGAAAATGTCTCCCAAAGTTCTTTTACAGCCTCAAACCGCATGTGGGACACAAAATGTTTAAGGAATATGAAAGCAATCTTTTCTTAATTACAACATAACCTTTCCCTTCCTTTTTGCTTGTTGATAATTCCTAAAATTAGCCCAACTAAATAGTCGCAGGAATTTTTGCTACTTTTTTTGTGCAAAAGCAACTTTTTATATAAACAAGAAAACGTAATGGTTGTGTTCCCTTTGAGGAAATTGTTCACACAAGAAGTCCTCCTCTCTTCCCTTCATGGAAAACATGTTTATAAAATCCAAGTAGAGGCAAAGACTTAAGGCAGATGTAATGCTTAGCTTACAAAACAGCAATGGCTGTATAGGACACCCTGTTAAAGGCAGCTCGCCAGCGTAGAAGTCAATATAAAAATAAATTAAGAGTTCTTGAAATCAACATCTGTGTCATTTGGTCAGGGCTCCAAAATACATCTTACAATTCACAATGTATTTGGCTGTTACCACTTTACCATGGTCAACGTAAAACTAAACCTGACACTAAAAATGGATCCTTTGAGACTGCAGGTGTTGAAAGACACACAGCTTCCCAGCCAGGGAAAATTAAATGGTACTGATATTTTGGAGTCAGCCCTATTATTGCAATAATAGTTCCTGTAGGTTAGATCTAAGTGCAATGAAATGATGCTCTGGGGAGTGGTGGAAACACAGCCAGGAGGGTTGGTGCTGGACACTGGTAAGAGCTAAGTGTGGATGAGGATGTGAATCTCCTGGTCACTGGCAAGTCCTAGTGCTGGTAGCGGGCAGCTGGTGAGGTGCCAGGCTGGGCAGTGGCAAGCAGCATCAGCTCCTGGCCATCAACAGCAGCTGAACCAAGCTGCTCCCAAAACTGCAGTCGGAGCCCACGCTGCCAACCACAAGCCCGTGGAAGCATGGAGCGCAGCTCCTCATCACTGCAGCGGGAGCCCCCAGTCCCCAAGCAAAGCCACACCAGTCCCCGGTGCAGCGGGTGTAAACATCTGGTGCCTTCACACATATGCTTGGGGATAAAATGAGTCTTCACAGCCACCAATGACACCTTTTTTCCTTGCAAGTGCACGCTCAGCGCTTGGGGTATTTCCTAATTAGCTGAACACCGGCCTCTGAAGGGCTCAGCAAGGATTGCTCACATCACCACGCTGCTGTCTCACCAGCCTTACCACAATGGCAGCACCTTCCCCCGACGCACAGCAGCAAGGTTGAGTCCCCGGCACGCACCCCTCCATTGGGGAGATGGCAGA